CCCTAATAATCAACTAAAAGAAAAAAAACGTGAAAAAACAGCAAAAAAAAAAACAACAACAATAATAATAATAATAGTAAAGTAAAGTAAATAAATCTAAAAATATATAAAATGGGCCTGAGTTTGGTTAGCCATTAGCCTAGCCTGGACAAATACTGTACCTCCAAAAATTTACAGGTGCAGACTCTCCTCAGGTCATAAACCTGCAGCCAGACAATGTTTGGCCAAACTTGGTGGTCAGACTGGGACCACTGTTCACGCAGAGGTGGTCCCAAAAATCTTTTTTTTTCCATGTTTCTTGAACAATCTCTCATATAGGCAGTACCATGTAGAGTGACATCATGATAGTTACCTGTTTGAGCAGTGCAGGCTTTGCGAAAATGTTGCTGGCAAAGCAGCAGTTGGGGTGGTCCCTCCCTGGGGTGGCTGAAGATTTTTCTATGAAGGCCATGGCCACCCCCTGGCTCCACCCCTGCCTGAAATACACAGGTGCACATGTATTATTTTGATACATCATTTTTTTTATGTATTCGTGTCATATATATAGCTAAAAATCTAAAGCTTAAAGGTTACTTCAAACATTAATAATGTATAACCGATGAAATTACAGATTGAAATAGAGAAAGTAACAGCTCTGTAGAAGTTTTTTTTTGTTTTGTTTTCTTTTTGAGCATCGACTTGTTTTGTATGCAAGAAACGCGTTGAAGCGTGCACACTAAGAGTTTGCTTCAACCACAGGAGGACTCTGCCAGGCCCTGAGAGTCAGATACTTTTCACTTTTATAATTAATACTTTTTCTCCATGTCTGTGTTTAATGATTGATGTTAGTTGATACATGATCGGGGGGATCACACACGAGCCAAAACTAAAAACTAGAAACTGAGATGAGGGCCAGTTTCAATCATAATTCATTAGAAAATATACATTTTTTAAAATGACTTTCAGGAGTTTTATGTCATTTTTATATACTGTACTTAAATGTTAATTATCTTCAAGTAGAAAAAGAACATACATATCATTAAAGAAAAGTTATTACATTGAAAACTGATTTAGGGTTTATTTATTTTGCTGTGAATTCTAATAGTTTTAATTTGTTATTTCTTAGTAGCATACAATTTAGCTTATCAAACTGGAATAATCTTTTAATATAATTCATTTCAAATTCAATTCAAAAATACTTTATTGATCCCAGAGGGAAATTAGGTGTTGTTGTAACTCATTTAACTAAAGAATTATTGTAGATGCTGATGGCTGTGGGCAGGAAAGATCTTCTGTAGCGGTCTGTATTACAGTGAAGTTGAAGAAGCCTCCGTCTGAAGACACTTTGTCTTTCTATGACAGTCTGATGAAGAGGATGGTCAGGGTTGTCCACAATGTTCTTGATTTTATGTAAAATCCTTCTTTGCACCATCATCTCCAGAGATTCCACAGTCGTCCCCAGAACAGAACCAGCCTTCTTTATCAGGTTGTTTAGCCTTTTTAGGTCCCTGGCTCTGATGTTGCTACCCCAACAGATGATGGCAGAAGAGATGACACTCTCAACAACAGACTTGTAGAAGATCTGCAGCATCTTGCTGCAGACATTGAAGGATCTCAGCTTCCTTAAGAAGTACAGTCTGCTCTGTCCTTCCTTGTAGACTGCTTCACTGTTGAGTCTCCAGTCCAGTCTGTTGTCCAGATGAACACCGAGGTATTTATATTCCTCAACCACCTCCACTTCTTCTCCCAAGATGGAAACAGGGTTTGATCCAGCACTATTTCTCCTGAAATCTACAATCATCTCCTTTGTTTTGTTCACATTCAAGATGAGATGATTGTTCTCACACCATGTCACAAAGCGGTCCACCAGCTCTCTGTACTCAGCTTCCTGTCCATCTCTGATACACCCAACAACTGCAGAGTCATCTGAGTATTTCTGTAGATGACAGCAGTCTGACTTGTGCTGGAAGTCTGAAGTGAACAGTGTGAACAGGAATGATGAGAGTACAGTTCCCTGGGGTGCTCCTGTGCTGCTGACCACATGGTTAGACACACAGTCCTTCAGCCTCACAAACTGTGGTCTGTTTGTCAGGTAGTCTTTGATCCAGGCGATTGTTGAGGCCTCCACCGGAGTCTTCTGGAGTTTCAGACAAAGCAACTCAGGCTGAATTGTGTTAAAAGCACTGGAGAAATCAAAGAACATGATCCTCACAGTGCTGCCTGCTTTGTCCAGATGACAGTGGGTTTGTTGAAGCAGGTGTATGATGGCGTCGTCAACTCCAACTCCACGACGATAAAGAAACTGCAGGGGGTCCTGATGTGTGCTTGTTTGCTAACTCAGGTGGGTCAACAGGAGTCTCTCTAGGACCTTCATGATGTGGGATGTCAGGGCAACAGGTCTATAGTCATTGAGGGCTGATGGGTGAGTTTTCTTTGGTACTGGAACCAGACAGGATGTATTCTAACTATTGTTATTCTAATTTGAATAAAGAGAAAGAAAAAAAACAGAAAATCTCATTTTTCACAAGCGCTCTCATTTCCAACAGCTCCATTCCAACATCAAACATTTTTTTCTTAACTGAAAGAACTGAGTCTGCTCTCTATGGATGTTATTTGTTGCTTTTTTCCGCATCAAATGCAAAGATCAGTGACCAGATTTTCCCTTTTAGGGTAAGAAAAACCTTGAGAATTGAGGAAATTTCCAAAGGAAGTGCAGATTTGACTGTGTATGACTGAAAAAGATTTTACAAATAAGACCTCAAAAGGATTGCATGATGAACAAAAATAAAATATTCATGTTTTACTGCACTTTAAAACTAATTCTCATCAATAATTCACGCTGTGTACTGAAAGCATTGTTATTTTGGGAGCTAAGAAAACTTTTCCCTGTGCCTCAGAACATTCCTGCAGAGGACAACTCCCAGCTGTCCCACTTTTATGACCATTTCATTAAACTACTTAATTATTCCTGTCATCTGTGAGTTGGAGAAACTCAGGCAGTGATTGTTTCTGAGCCACTTGAGCAAAGTCGAGTCAGGAAGACAGTGAAACATGCACGTACAAAACGCATGGAGCTATTTAGGTGTGGTTGTGGTCGGTGTCTTCAGGCCATGTTCTTCAGTGTGAGCTGAGTTGAGTGAGGAGGTCAGCTCCTCCAAGTCTGAGTGGTTCTCAGCAGGAAAAAAATTGGAATGCTGCCGCTGGAATGAGTGGAATCGATCTTACCTTGTCATATCTCCTACAAAAAAACACTGCAGGAGCAAAAACGTACATCAGAGATGTCTGCCTCGGACTGTTTAGTATTTATAAGTATTTATAAAACACAGCTTATGGTTTTTGCACAATGACTGTTGGGATGAGACTTATTTTTTAGTTTGTGTTTCTGTCTGCCTCTTATAAAAGTGCTGAGTGAGAAACAATGTGGACGACTTGTGGTCCGCGGTCCACCTCTGGCCCAAAAGTAACTTCAGGTCGGCCACCAACAAAGCCAATACCCCTTATTTATTTATTTATTACTTTAAACAGCACTCAAGGCAACTCTTAGAATGTAAGCTTTTTTCATGTTTGTTTGTTTGTTTGTTTGTTTGTTTGTTTGTTTGTTTGTTTGTTTGTTTGTTTGTTTGTTGAGAGGTAGACTATCTGTTCATGGAATTTTAAGGCTAACCTATGTTTAGTCTGCTTAAAGACACTGTCTGCCATAAAGGATTTTAATACAAGTCACCACTACAACATGTTGCACAAAGCTAAATATGAGACTTTTACCGAAGCCACAAGTACATAAACAACAGCAATTTTTACCAGAACCACCACACAGTCTGCTCTCAAGGCATTCTATATTCAGCCGGTTCGGATGTTATCAGTCCATTAAATTGACGTTATCAGCGGTTATCAGTCCCACAGAATGGCTTCAGACTGTCCCAACTGTGCCCCTAGTGGTCCCATAGAATGACTTCAGACTGTTTACCTACTAATACGTTGGAAGATAACAGTCCGTACTCCGGTCTACTTTAACCTAGCCCAGATCATTTTCTCTAAAATTAACCTTAGTGGCTTTAAGCCTCATACGAACCAGCTGACAGTCTGAAGCCATTCTTTAGGACTGATAACCGCTGATAACATCCATTTAATGGACTGATAACATCCAAAGCGGGTGCTATATCAGTGCTCTTCATCTCACAAAAGTAATTGTTTATTTTTTGTTTGCTTCAAACATTTTGTATTCATATTCATTAAACAAGAGTACAACTTTTACATGGGTTGCATGCATTTGAGCATGAAATATGTAACATTACTGCACTGTATGTTGGTTTACTAAACATACTGTATACAGTTGTGTATTCATTTACAGTTTGCCCAGTATTAGATGACAGAGTGGGAGTCTGGGGTTACTGTCAACAACCTTACAGTGAAAAAGTTCAGTGTAGAGCCCTGCATTATTTATTAGGTGTGCATAATTGGCCCTATATGGACATGTGGGATGAGAACCATGTGAATAACACATTCTTTGGGATTTGTCAAATAGGTACTTGGGTCAGACAAATTGAGAAAATATTTGAGGAAGCAGCTTTTTGGTATGCACTATATAAAGAAAAAAGTGAAGATGTAATATTGAACAGATTAAACAGTTTAATTTTGAAGCTTATAAATGGGCRGTTGATATTTTATTAAAACATGTATGTTCAAACGAAGGAAGTTTATGGACCTGAGCCATATGCAATATGGAACTAAACATCAATGGTTGGTTTGTGCACAGTTTAAATCTGGTATTTGACCTTTTGGCTCTGAAGACTGGATGATTTTGTTCAGACCCAGAGTTCTTTGTGTGATTTGGGTGAAATTGAAAATAAAATGAACTTTTTATTTTATTGTCTTTTTTATAAAAGATTWTGAGTAATAAATTATTTGATAAAGTTCCTGATCTTTATCCAGATTTTTTTATTTAATTGATGAAGATGAAGTGCCGTTTGTATTTAAGTATTTTGTGTTTCAGTTAGCTCAGTTTATTTTAAAGGCCTGGTGCCTCAGGAGGAGGACACTTTTTGTTTGACGAACGTTTATATTCGTCCGCATGTTTTGATGTGTCTTGTAAGCCAGTGTTGGCTGGGCACATATGATAACAAAATTACATGATTCATTCCACTTCACATATACACACAAACATGTTTAAAGGGGTGGGGGTATCATGCTTGTTACCCTCAATTACTGTSAAAATGCTGTTTAAATCAAAAAATAAATTTGACTCTGCATCCTATCTAAGCATCTTAAAATTGGCCTCTGTCTCTTTAAGACCCTCCTACCATTTCTGACACTCCCACTTCAGCAGTCTATACAACAATGCTTAGAGGAAGGTTGCATTGTGGGGTGGGATCTTGGCTGGGGATTGAGGGAGGAGCTTTGGGTAAATAGGCGGTGCTTTTATGCAGCCCCACATGGCCACCACAATCTGTGCCCTCCTTTACCCATTCACACAGCACTCTGTTAACTTAAAGCTTATTGTACAATCAATCTAAGGAGACTAATCAGTGCCAGACACATTCATACGGGACACACATCAGAGGCATTGAGGGTGAAGTGTCTTGCCCAAGGACACAACAGAGACAGCTGGAACGGGGGATCAAACCAGCAACGGTTGTAGGACGACTCCTCCACAGTCGCTCCTATGAATGAGTCAAAGAAAYTAGGTAAGTTTTAGATGAAGGAATGGCATTATGTTATGATTTAAAGCTCAAAAAAGTCCATTTGATAACACACTCACCTTTAAAATGGCAGCTTTTTATGTTTCTGTAAGTGTGCAGCTGTTGGTGTCTACAAAATAATGTGTCCCCTTTCATCAAAGTTGCGTAACTTAGATTATTAGTTGATTTCGATTTTTTTGGGGCAGAAGAATTATTAACATTTTCTTCAAAAAAAGCTGCTCTTTTATCATGTTTCTCGTCTTTTTTTTCTTCTCTCTCCCTCTAACAGTACATTGTCTCAGATCCAGTCATCCTCCTGGAGGAGTCCATTAGTCCCAGGCTGTGATGGGTGAGGCCGGGCGCGTCGCTGGAATGAATTAAGGGGGATGGGACGCATTTCGCTCAGCACCTTCTCCAGAATCTCAGCTCCAATAACGGCTAAAGATTGAATGTACAGGGTGGGGGTGRTTGGGGGGGTGACTCCCCACTTTCTCCCCGTGGCTGGTCGCGGGAGGCGGAGCTCCGTGGATGCGTTTGACAGCTGCGAGGCAGAAAAAAAAATGTGCAGCGCAAATGGAAAGCATGCCGCTCCAAGACAACCGTCAGATCAGAAGGAATAGGATGGATCATGGCCCCTTATAGCCTGCGTTTGCCCAACTTTTAGGAGCGGAAACCCCCCCCCCCCCCCCCCTCAATAATATAATTGAGTTTTTTTTTTTTTTTTGTACTTTTCCCCCCTTCCTTTCGGGGTGCGGGATGCAGCGTGCGTTCTCGTTCCCAGCGACCGTGGAACGCAGTCGGACCAAGGAGCGCCTGGAGGCGAGTCTGGCCGGCCTATGTGAGCTGGAGCTCCGCAGGCAGAGGCAGGAATGTCTGGTGTTGGGCGCGCTGGCTCTGGGAGCCCCTCTGGCCCCGGATGGCTCCAGAGGAGAGCTGGGGGGCTTCAGCAGCTGGAGCCAGGAAAACTTGACTCTGAGGCGTCAGCTGGTAAGAAAGTTTGTGTCTTGAGAGCCGTTCGCTCCCTGCAAATCGCTCAGTTTTGACCCAGACATTTATTAGTCCCGCTCCCCTTCTTCAACCCTGTCACAGTTTAGATTTTATTTATTTATTATTTATTTATGGGAAAATATCCTCACTGTGGCTGACCGTTGGGTGGACTCCTGCTTTAGGCTGAGCCTTTTGTTGCTCAGATGACCTCTATAGCTGCAGAAAAAGTTACTCAACTTGATTAATAGCGTCTTTGTGTGAAAGACTAATGCGTTTCTGCGCTTTAGGATGAGATTTATGCGCGTGGGGGGACGAAATCAGGGGGAGGAGCGGGCGCTGCTTGTGGCACAGACTCACTATTTAATGGCCCATTGTTCGCCGGGAGATGACTTTTGTGGGCTTTCACCTTTCAACAAGCACTCATTTGTTTTTGTTTTTGTTTTCCGCCCCTCATAAACGAATGAATCTGACGTCCAGCCGTGCGCATTGCTGTCCCAGCTTTAAGGAAAAAATATTTAGCGGTTTATTGGTTTTTCTTGCGTAAAGCTCAAGTAAAGTTACGCCAAATGCGGAGTGTGTGTTGAGAATCACTCTCAGCCACTAAATAACATGATTTTACTTCAAACTGCAAAACTTAGTTAGCAGTATGGATTATGTAGTGGCCAACTCCAAAATTTAATAAGCTGTAGATGTACACCCGACGGCTGTTTTCTGAAAGTTTCGTGAAAATCCGTCGAGTGGTTCTTGAGAAATTTTGCTAACCATAAACTGACCTTAATAGTCAKTAGTTACGTTTTATAAACAATTCTCTCTGGGTCAATTAGTGCTTAAAGTGTGTGTTGAAGGTGACTCTTATCAAACCAAGTTTCAGCTCAATATCTGTAGAATGAGCTGAATTAAATGCATTTAGAAGGGGGTTAAAATTCTCTTAGCTGTCGCGGCCATCTTGAATGGGATTGGCTTTAAATATTATTCAATTGTAGATGTGAATATATTAAATATTTTCTGAAAGTTTCATTCAAATCCGTTCAGTGTTAGGTGAGATATTTTGCTAACAGACAAACAAACACGCAAAAGAACAACAAATAACCACTGTGCGGCGGCGGGCGATAATAATAAGGCGGCTTCATCAAAGCCAATAAAAGTGTCCTCCAGGGAAATTTTACGCCTCACAGATTTGAGAGGACGACAGTGGTCTGGTGATGTTTTATGGGGGGGTTGTGCGTAATTCTCTGATCGGCTGCTCGGTCAGTTAAACCCGTGCCACGACTGGAAGCCATTTTTAAAGAGGATGATGGGGAGGGGGGAAAAAATGAAATCATCCGCCTCCTCTTTACACCTTCTTCCCCTCCCCTCCCCTCTCCTCCGCCGGTGGCCCAACAAAAGGCGCATATGGAGCAGAATACTAATGACCGAGGCCTGGGTCACATGAGGATGACGAGGGTGAGGATGAGGCGCAACAGAAGTGGCCTTGTGCGCGCTTGGCACGACGRTGTGGGCTCTGGGACCGGGAGTCCGCATCAGGGATGGAGAATGAGCTCCGAGGTTCTGCTCAAAACAACATTAAACTCAAATTGAATTTTAGAAGCTGCGTGACGACCATGTGTTTCCAATGAGCTCCAGCCTCTTGCCTTTTTTCACATCTGATTGATTTTTTTTTTTCCATGAATTCTTCTGCTCATCCATGCGTGTTGGTCACACTTTGGAGCTTTTTTATTATTTTTATTTATTTATTTTTTTTTT